TTCAGCATCACACAGAGGGTTAAAAAAACACTCATAGTGCACAATATAGGTAAGACACAGCTTATATATTATAAACATCTAGGTGTCATGTAATAAAGTTACGAATTGCTGTGAGATTACGTTATTTAGTTCGAAAAACATCATTATAATGAAGTCAATATTCTGTTTCAGTTGAAAATACATCATCATTCTGGAATAAAACCCCGCCCCCCGACTCAATATTCAGTTTTAGTTGGAAAACGTCATCATACTAGAGTAAAACACCGCCCCGTACTTAATATTTAGTTTTTTGAAAATGTCATCTCACTAGAATAAAACCCCGCCCACTACACAGTATTTAGTATTCAGTTTGAAATATGTTATCATATGGAATAAAACCCTGCCCCCTACTCAATATTTAGCTTCAGTTGGAAATACATCACTGAAATAAACCCCACCCACTACTCAATATTCAGTTTGGAATACATCATCATCCTGGAATAAAACACCGCCCCTTACTCAATATTCAGTTTTAGTTAAAAATGCGTCATCATGTTAAAATAAAACCCCACCCCCTACTCAATTTTCAATTTGAAATACGTCATCATACTGGAATAAAACCCTGCCCCCTACTCAATATTCAGTTTCAGTTTCGAAATACGTCATCGTACTGGAATGAAACCCCGCCCCCTACTCAATAATCTGATTCTAAATTGTGGCGTTTTAGTGACTGCCACTTTAAATTCAAATGAGATTTTGCTCGTTTTCAAAAGAGGGTGGAGCTACAAATGCCTGTGTGTTAGTATAATGGCAGATTCAAAAACAAGACTAACGTCTATGCTAATGAGGGAGAGATGGTCACTAGTGAGCGGGGTTTTCCTGCTCTGATGACACGTACAAAGGGAGAATGTCAATCAAAGTGTTTCTGCAGTCTGATTATTAAAAATACAATTAATTCATGTTTACCATTAGAGGCTGGATATATTCACACACAGCACTGCAGTAAACCCCTTATGAAAATAATTTTTGAATAATAGGTGCCCTTTAAATAATACAACCTTATGTGAAGAGTTACCAAGCTTTATAGCACTGTGGTCATTTCGTTCTAGAAAATTGACAATAAATCTCAACTCTTGCTGTTGTTTGTCAGGTCAGCGTGTGTTTGGCGAGGAGGTTCTGGGTTTAACACAAAGCTCGGTGTCTGAACTTCTGTCTCATCCCAAACCCTGGACTAAACTCAGCCTGAAAGGGAAGGAAAACTTCATCCGGATGCATCTGTGGCTTCGAGACCCTCACAGCGTCCAGAAGCTCAACGCCAAGAAAAAGAGTGACCAGAGAGGTCAGTATGTGTAAAAGGCAATACAAAGAAAACACGAAGAAGTGAAACAAGACTCAGCAATGTGTGTGTGTGTGTGTGGTGCACCTTGAATTTAATAAATGAGACTCCAGATTTTTTTTAGTTATTTTAACGTTGTGCATGTGTGTGTTTCAGCTCGACTGAAGCGTGATTCTCAGAGTGTGTGTGAAGCTCTGGAGTGTGGTGATGTGTGGCGTGTGGATGCGCTGAAGAGGCCGCGTGTGGTGCTCAGTGTACAGGAGAAGCAGACGCTGTTCTCTGCTTATGAGCTGGAGCCGTATCCCTCACAAAACACCATCGACAGGCTGGCGGCGCAGCTCGGCCTGCAGACCAGCACTGTCAGCAACTGGTTCTACAACTACAGGTGGGTGACAGGTCAGAAATACTGGAATTAAGGGGCGGGAATGATGATGTATTTACTACTGAAACTAAATATTAATGAGGGGGCAGGGTTTATTTCAGTATAATAACGTATTTTCAAATGAAACTGAATATTAAGTAGGGGACGGGGATTTCAGGATGACGCATTTCTATGTAAAACTGAATATTGAGTAGGGGGCGGGGTTTTATTTGGTATGATGACACATTTCAACTTAAATTGAATATTAAGTAGGGCGCGGGGTTTTATTTGATGTGATGACACATTTCAACTGAAATTGAATATTGAGTAGGGGGCGGGATTTTATTCCAGTATCCCAAATTTCCAACATAAATGTAATATTGAGTAGGGGGTGGGGTTTTATTTCAGTATGATAACGTATTTCCAACTAAAGCTGCGGTCACACTAGAGTTTGAGCTTGTGAAATTCTGTCATGCGTATGTTATTAGACATTAAAAACATTTAAAATTCCTGTCCAGAGAGGTCATGTTTTGATCCTCGATTGGTCTCAAGCAGTCAAGTGATGCGATTTCGCAGGTCAGAGTTCACCAAGCTTGAACTTTGCATCACAGCGACCTCCAAAACTTGACGCATGACCCTGCGTTTCCGGTCTGACACATTCGTGTGCGTATGAATGGAAGTCTATGAGGAGAAAAGTCCAGTGTGACCGCAGCTTAAAACTGAATATTGAGTGGTGGGTGGGGTTTTATTACAGTGTGATGACGTTTTTCCAACAGAAATTGAATATTGAGTAGTGGGCAGGGTTTATTTCAGTGAGGTATTTCCAACTGAAACTGAATATTGAGTAGCGGGTGGGGTTTTACGTCATAGTATTTAGTATTCAATTAGAATATGCGATCATGAGTAGTGGGCGGGGTTTATTATAGTATGATGATTGATTTCCAACTGAAACTGATTAGGGGGCGGGGTTTCATTCCAGTATGATCACATATTTCCAACTTAAATGGAATATTGAGTGGGGGGGGGGGGGTTATTTCAGTACGATGATGTATTTCCAACTGAAAGTGAATATTAAGTAGTGGGTGGGTTTATTTCAGTGATGCATTTCCAACTGAAACTGAATATTGAGTAGGGGGCGGAGTTTTATTCCAGTATGATGATTTCTTTCCAACTGAAACTGAATATTGAGTAGTGGGTGGGATTTATTTCAGTGATGTATATCCAACTGAAGCTAAATATTGAGTAGGGGGCGGGGTTTTATGCCATATAACCATATATTTCAAACTGAATACTAAATACTGTGTAGTGGACAGGGTTTCATTATAGTATGATGATGTAATTTCAACTGAAGCTAAATATTGAGTAGGGGTGGGGTTTTATTACAGTATGATGATTTATTTCCAACTAAAACTGAATATTGAGTAGGGGGCGGAGTTTTATTACAGTATGATGATTTATTTCCAACTGAAACTGACTAATATGTAGGGGGCGGGGTTTATTTCAGTATTATGATGTTTTCCAGCTGGAACAGAACATTGAGTTGGGGGGCGGGGCTTTCTTTTAGTAAAGGTATAAGGGGCGTGGCTATAAGAATATTGCGTTCGAAGCATCAAACTGACGTGAACAGAGAAGGAGCACCACTTAAAACCCAGGAGCAGATGCTTAGACTGTGATTGAAGATTACCATAGTACCATTAACAAATGCACAGATTAAATGTTCAACTAAAGAACATTGTACATTTAGATTTCACACAGACTTTAAGCAATAAATGAATCACAAACAGTCCAAAAGCTATAAGTGTAATCCACAAACCTTTGTTTTTTTTCTTCTGTTAACAGGTCTAGGATCAGGCGAGATGGTTTCTGTGAACCAGCTCAGGTCAGAAGATCGAGTCCGGCTGGTTTGAGTCTGCTTTCGTTGGCTTCAGCTGCAGTCAAACAGGCGCCCAGAGATCCAGAAGCAGACGACACAGACGGACACGTTTCTGTCGGCGTTCAGTCATTCATGAGACTAAAAGAAGAGAGAGAGGAAGATCCAGACTCATTCTGCTCATCTTTCTGAACTCATCACTTCTCAGGACGCTTAACTTCATATAGTTCCCTCTTTTTTGTTGTTAATAATTTATTTCATGTGTTGAACGTATATCTGACTGGCCAAATGTCTATATTTATAGTATGGCTGAATAATGAGTGTTGATTTGTTTAATAACTAATGTAAGTTCATTTATATCCAGATTAGTCTGGAGATTAAAAATATGAACAATGACATTTACTACAAAATAAAAGTCCCGTTTGAAACTCATTTATACTGTTATCTGTGTTTGTTCGTATCATGGTGCTGATTAAATAAAAACATGTACAATATTTCACACTATACATTAACTATATTAAGGTTAACTAGACAAGTCGCTAGACAACAGTGGTTTGTTCTGTAGACAATTGAAAATAATAATTTATTTAGGAGGTAAATATCATTGACCATAGGAGTTTTACATTTTAACTTTCATTCATTAATTTTCCTTCAGCTTAGCCCCTTTATTCATCAAGAGTCTCCACAGCGGAATGAACCACCAGCTTATCCAGCATGTTTTACACAGCGGATGCCTTTCCAGCTGCAATAATCACTGGGAAACACTCATACTCTACGGCCAATTTAGTTCATCAATTCCCCTAAACCCACGTCAACACCAACTAACCCCCAGCCAGAACTCAAACCAGCGACCTTCTTGCTGTAAGGCAACAGTGCTAAACTGTTTTTTTTTTTTTTATTCTAAATAATAATGTGTGTGTGTGTGTGTGTGTGTGTGTGTGTGTGTGTGTGTGTGTGTGTGTGTGTGTGTGTGTGTTATTATCAAAATTAGCTATGATTAATAATACTTATTCATTTATAAATAAAAAAATACTGTCCTAACTCAGCTTGGAGGATAGTTATGAGAAATCTGTATTACATTTACTTGTATGACATTAAGTCATACATACTACTCTTTTAAAAATACTTGCTTTTGAAATAATACTTTAACAATTATTATTATCGAATTTTTACTGGATTACATATTAATCATTTCGTACACAAGTTATAATAGTTTTTATGATTAATATTATTTTTCTTGTTTAATAAATATCCCTTCTTTATTTTTAAAATGTTATAGATGACATTGTATTCCTTCAATGCTCACTACAATAGGTGTTTTGATCAATATAATGTGTTCGCTATTAATAAATATAATTCGCGGACTGTATCCTATCTCCGCTACGCAAAGCAAAAACAAAACATTCGTCACGTGACGCGCGGGTGCGCGATTGCGTCACCCTACCCGTCACATGACCGCGCGCGGAGCAGCTGAGAGGGGAGCGTCATGGCGGTGTAGAGAGGATTACACTCAATGTTTACTTTCTGTTTACCGTGTTTTTTCTGATTACACTCTGGTTTACCGGCAACAGCGCGGATCTTCTGCAGCCGCGGCGACAGCAGGTGAGTGAACTGCGGCGTAGAGGCTTTCATAGCACCTTTTTTTCGCCGGTGAAGGTTCCGCCCTCCAGAACAACAATAACAACAACAAACACCGACAAGAACACGAACACACACTATATAGTTCACTAAATAGGCTACTCACTTAACACTGGAGAGTGCACACTGTTGCATGTATAGTAAGTGAACGAGTGCTTTTTATCTGCACTAAATTGACAGCTGAAAAAATACTAGTGGTACTATAGTAAATACTATAGCAAATACTAGTGGTTGTGAACCATACTATAGTAAAGTGCATTATACTGGATATATCATAATATCTACAACTCTTTGTTAACGAATGTTCCAACATACTGAAGTATTAACAACAGTGAACTGATAAACTATAATAATAATGTAGTATACTTTAGTTTTACTACAGTAAACTGTTGTATAATGTAAGCTATAGTTGTTGAAAACTACAGTATTGAGTCATTTGTTTATATATAATTATACTGTAGTTGTTGTGTTACCAATCAACACTACAGATTAAATCAAGTGGTTTACTATAGTCTGGTTAAAAAACACTACAGTATTTACTAGAAGATTACTATAGTATTTTTTATGTGAGTTCAAACCCTTCTGCGGAAAAATGTGGAAAGCCACATCTGACTAAATTAGAAACATAAAAATAAATAATTAAATGTACAAAAAGTCAAGTATAAATAAATTAATATGTAGTCAAATGAAATACATAATTACTTTGTATTTACTATAAAAGTTACTATTCATTCATTCGTTTATTTTCTTGTCGGCTTAGTCCCGTAATTAATCCGGGGTCGCCACAGCGGAATGAACCGCCAACTTATCCAGCACATGTTTTACGCAGTGGATGCCCTTCCAGATGCAACCCATCTCTGGGAAATAAAAGTTACTATATAATTTACTATAATATACTATGTAATTTACCTTTTGCACTTATTTGTATATTTATTAGTTTATTTATATATTTCTAATTTTACTTGAGTAAACCTGCTCTTCCGAACAGAGCTGTGGAAAGCAGGATAACCTCTCTGTCATTAAACATGGATTTTTAGAAAGCAAACAGATGTTTTGTGTTCACACGAGCTTGTCAGGCGCAGCATAACAAGGTTTTGTGTTTGCATAAGCTTTCTTTGCATGATCTTTGATTATAGTTTACATTCCCATCGGCTTGAATAGCTGTGCATCTGTCTCTGTGTGTGTGTGTGTGTTTTATCTCTGCCCTCCACAAACTCATGGTACAAAACCTGTTTCACTTTTAATCCACCTTCAAGTTTATTATTGGTTGACTTTGACTTCTGATGGGGTTATGTAAGGTCACGCTGACCTACTTTACTCCTGTAAATCTGGAGTAAACCTAATATTTACTTGTATTAATAATTAATTGATAGCTTTACGAATGATGGATGTCATATTTTACTTCTAATGTAAATATTTATTTAAATTAATTAAATCATATTTAATAAGTATATTTACAGTTGATATTAATATAATTTGGAGTTTGGATGAATGCAATTTTAATCCTACTGTTACAAAGTCTGATTGACAATGAAGTTCAGTTTGACTTTATTAGTGCACGTCCATAATAAAAGTTTGTATTTACATAATTTATACAATTGCACTGTGTATATTTATGCATATATGTAAAATACACACATATACTGTACAGAAAATACAAAAATATACCAAAGAAATATGTATCTTTTACTGCTGCACGTTTTATATGTCTGTGAGATGCTACTTTTATAGGCACTATTTAAAAATAAAGTGTATTATTATTATAAAGAACCTGGGGTCCGTTCTTCGTATGTGGATTACTCAATTAGCTGGATTTGGATATTGACATGATCCAGGATCGTTTCGTTCTTCAAAACTCATCTGAGAGTTGTTGTCATAGTAACAGTTCTGCTAGCTCAAACCTGCGTAGGTGCAGGTTCATTTCATATAAACAGGATTAGATCGGGTCAGTTCAAGCAAAGATAATGCTGAAAGTGTGTAGCGAATGCTGATATTTTCTTACAGTAGTTATATACACTAGGGAAAATAGTAAATATGTATTTTTAACTTTATATATAAAGTAAAAAATAAATAAATAAATAATGTATATGGGCAATTCCATGCAAATGTCAACCTGGTCATAAAAAATAATGCAGTTATAATGCACCAAAATAGAGAAACTGTTTCTACATTTTTTGTGTTAGTGAGTTTTTTGCAGTACTTTAAAAATACTCGTAAATGTATCTGTCAGTATTTCAAACTATTATATTTAATTTGCCAAAATCACACAAGTGGCAACTTCACAGCTGTCACATCCATAACGGAGATGTGTCACATCCATAACGACACTTTTTCTTCATAAATGCAAAAATTTTCATCAATCAATCATTTTAATTCTACAGTGAGCCGACTCATACCTGTTTGATGAGCATTGTGTCTCTTGGGTTGTGCAGTTTAACTGTCAGAATTTCTAAATAATCTGTTGTCGACTGTAAATTTGCAAACTTTTTTTTGTCACATCCATAACGCATGTTTATTTTCCTAATTTAAAATATAAAACATGTTTACATATTGATATTTTTCTGCTCCCAGAACTCTGTGGTGAGCTGTTTTTGAAAATATAAACAGAAGTTTTGATATAATGTCAACATATACTTTCTGTGTGAAATTATGTTTTGAGTTTTTACTGCAAATGTCACATCCATAACGCTGGAATTGCTCATATATATATATATATATATATATAAATATATAAATATATATATTTATACAACAATTCTGTCCGGTTCTCAAATCTGATTGGCTGAAAGCCGTGCGATATTCTGCAATATCAGAACTTTTACAGCCTCTTTAGCCTTTGTGTATTACTCCGCCCACATACACCAGCAAAAAGCCGACACTACAGATCTAAAGTTTAAAAGATGCTTGCTCAGCTGTTCAACTGTCAGCTTATGATTTGAATCCAACGTGGAAGAAAGTAGTTCCTCATACAAAAGGGTTTTTGAGACTCTCCATGTTTGATTTTGTTTTTATATACACAATTATGCCGTCAAACTGTTGTATAAACGCAATATCACACTCGTAGCAGCCTGCAGCCTCGTGCCATCGCACGCCTCCCACCAGTGCCGATATACAGCCATATCACACTGCTACTCGTGTGATATTGCTCATATATATATACTTGTGCAATCTGCATGCCGAAATTAAAAGTAAAAGACTGCCACCTGGTGGTTCAAAGAGGAAATTTATTGATGTGAATTTTTTTGGGTGCAAACGCGTACATGCACAATATTCAACTTTTTTAAAAAAGCATAATAATCTATGCAGTCATTTATGTGTTTTGACCGCTAATATTCTGGTGACTGACACCTTTTCCGATGTTAAAATTAACGTATACAGTTATTCCTTACGCCGATTAAAAAACTCAAAAGGCCTATAGGCTACTATAATAAAGAAAATCTTCTCTAAATGAAGAACTAAATACACTGATATGCATTGAAATACATGATGAATACACTCTTTACACATGAAAGTGTAAAGCCTGCTCCTCCAACAAACTGGAGAGTTATTGCGTGTCATATTTAACAAACCGTTTACTGCTGATTTTATGTCATTTAGCTCACATGGATAATTGAACATTAATCAGATGATGTCATCACGCTGCTGTGCCGTCAGATTGCTGATCATGATTTCGAGGATTGATAGATCTGCCCTTCACAACACACGCAGCGATCTCAGATCAGTTCATCCAGACATTTCAATCTGATTTGCGAACTTGTTTGAAGATCCAAATTAGCCAGAGATCAGCTATCAAGATGAACAGATCCAGGATCTGCCAAATCATCTTAGATCATGTAAGCGAGATACGAAAAACAGACCCCTGGTCGCAGGCAAACAGAACAACACTAAAGCCCATAGAGTCACTATACAAACAGACAATTAAAATACTGGATAAAAAGCCTCGAAGACATCATCATTGTACCATTTTACAAACACATAAACTGTTAAGCTGGGAAAATGTCGTTAAGTGTGATGTAAAAAATCATTCATGGTCTGTCATCTCCACCTCTCAGTCAGTTTGTACACATCAGGAACACCACACACAGAGCAACACGAGGGGCAGTCAGAGGAGACCGTATTGTACCACTCTGGAAAGGTGCCTTTGGTCAGGGTTGCCTTTTCAGTTACAGCTGCACAGGAGTGTAACTCCGTGCCTGGCAACATCAGAGAAATTACCTCTTTCAGTTTGCTCAAAAAACATCTAAACACCTGGCTTATAGAGCATCAGTCATCATTCCTATTAGCATGAACCTACCCAGCATGTTACCATTTGTGCCTGCCATCTTAATGATTTGTTGTTTAAATGTGTTTTAAATAAGGGTGACGCAGTGGAGCAGTAGGTAGTGCTGTCGCCTCACAGCAAGAAGGTTGCTGGTTCGAGCCTCTGCTGGGTCAGTTTCTGTGTGGAGTTTGCATGTTCTCCCTGCGTTTGCGTGGGTTTCCTCCGGGTGCTCCGGTTTCCCCCACAGTCCAAACACATGCGCTATAGGTGAATTGGGTAGGCTAAATTGTCCGTAGTGTATGAGTGTGTGTGCGAATGAATGTGTATGGGTTTCCCAGTGATGGGTTGCGGTTGTAAGGGCATCCGCTGTGTAGAACATATGGTGGATAAGTTGGCGGTTCATTCCACTGTGGTGACCCCGGATTAATAAAGGGACTAAGCTGAAAAGAAAATGAATGAATGAATGTGTTTTAAATATTATTATCTCTATTACATAGTTTAAATTGTACATATACATTTTTTTATTAAGATCTACATAACCATGTCTATTTTAGTGCTTCTTAACTATGCTTGATTGATTGTATAATTTTTGTATTGCTTTTTAGGTTGTCCAGGGACAACAGATGAAAAATAGCCTTCTGGCTAGTTCTGGTGCATTTGCAGCAATGCTAATTAACATGCACTGTCCCTGACAAATAAATAAATAAATGGACTCAATGACGAGCAAAAAATCTGTGGAAATATCTTTATGATTTGCAGATTTCCTCAGATTTTTCAGCCCATCATTGAATCTACTTATTTACTTGTGTAAATGAATCATTTGTGATTTTCATTTTAATTTCTATTATGCTAATGTTCATATGATTCATTTAGAACAGTGGTCTCCAACGCTTGACAATTTTACCATGGCCCAAGGGGTGGGTTAATGTAGATGGCTAGGTGACCATCAACCGTTTTCTCAGAGGATGAAAGGCTGACAAAACATTGCTGCAACTCTGATACAAGTTTTGTTTATGGAAAAAAAGTAAAAAGCACCGCAGTGTTTTGGTGTTCTGTGTTTGATAATCAGTCAACCGAAATGTGTATATTCCATACAAAACATGCAGCTGATTGGTCAGTTCTTGTCACGTGACTTGCGGTGC